CTAAGAAAATTTGTTATCAATGATGCCTCGAGTTTTTTTAATCGTAGTGTATCTCTTTACAAGCAGACTAGTTAGACCTACTTACTAGACTGAGTTGAAGGTTAAAGTTTTACTTGAGGGAAGGAGGAAAACATTTGAATGTAGCACTACTTTCCATGGACGCAAGCCGCTGTATGCCTTACCCGCCAATAACTGTTACTAAAATATATCAGTTAAGTTTTAGTCCGCTTTCACGTGATTTAATAATTATTCTAAGCATAAATTGGCAGATTGTGTACACACCAACAAACACTCAGTAGAGGATTCATCTTACGGCCAACCATTCGTCCCAATGATTTTATCTGCAGCGTAGTTTTCTCGAATGAAAAATTTTTTGCTACTTCGCATAAGATTAATTGTACTAGACCAGCAAGTGAACGACCGAGTGTGTATTCTGTATAGGTTTGTGTCCTCACTCCGTTATGTGTGACCACACTTGTGTCGAATGTTCGCACGGCCGCAGCGTCGGCTAAATCTAAACAACGGTAATTCCAGGAACCGGCAAAATATATAAAATATCACACCAAATTTCTCGTCGCCGACCTTCCGGGGTTGGCTTATGGTCTACGGAAACTATTTATAATAAGACAATAAAGTGATTCTAGGAATTGGTTGTAAGACCTTCCCCTTGTTAAATTGGGAGCGGGAATTGCTCTTTCCTTCATTGAATAGTTCCGTATCACGACTAATGAATTTCAAACAAGTTTATTTCTCTATTAAGCGCAGCTTCTGCAAAGTTAACAGCTTCAGTTTTCCGAGCCATTCACTTCATTCCTTTTGACAAAATTATAATTAATTTCCTTCTTCACATCCATTACGCAAAATATCACAGGTTTCCCGTTAATAAAACGCTAGTGAACTACAAACCGGTTAATGGAGTGTAAATTAAGTAAGATTTTCTGCACTATATATCGGTGCGGTGACCGGCCTGCGAAAAAGAAGTAAATCGGTGTTAGTTATACCGCTGCAGACTCAGACAAGAACGGTGCTGTGGTCACTAAGCGGCCTTCCCACGCGAAATGAAAGCTTACCATTGAACTTTTATTGCACAGCACTTCGGGTAAGTGATTCGCTTAACGCAGTCTTAGCAGGTAAATACGTCCATGTCTTATTATGTTATTTCTAGCTGAGGTGAAAAATTAGGTTTTACCTGATGTTACAGGATGGAGATGCGACTGGGAGACTTCCTATAATTACAGTGGACCCAACGCATATATATTTACTTGATCACGAAGAAATTCACGTCAAGGCAAGACTGCCATATTGCGCGTTTTTATTAATTAACTTACTTGTTTTTCCAGTTTAATAGCGATAAAATTGAACGAATTACAATTCGTACGAGGTATTTTAGAAAACAAGTGAACAAAATTAAACATGTCTGCGTAATCAGAAGAAGATATAAAGAATTATAAATAGCATAGACAGAAAAATTGGTACACGTTTAAGGAAACATTACGAACTCCAACTTTGTACTCTAGGCAAATCCGACAACGGATATTTTTTTCTATCGCATATTCCCGTACAGGTTGAGAAGTTAAGCGGGCAAATTAGGAAGCGACACTCGTGCAATTTTGGGCGATTACCTACAAGGAAAACATTGCTCTGAGTTTAAATTGACGTGTTTATGATAATTTTGCAACTTCCTCTGCATTTTTAACAAAAAACTTGCAAGTGATCCACGCTGGATGAGGCTTTACAATTTCCTGTTTGTTAATATCAGGTCATATCTCTTATATACCAGCCTGTTCGTCACCCGTTATAAAAGTGGACACAAATTTATCAGGTCAGCGCTCTAATATACCTGCCTGTTGGTCACAAAAGTAGATACGCATTCAATATTATTGTTACAACACTTTTCTTTAACTTCGCTTCTTCTTGTTTGTTTATGTTTGCTACAAATCTTATAATCGATATTTAACACACTTCTACCTCTCCAATCGATCTGAAATCTTGCAAAATGGCGTAAATTTTGAGACAATGCATGAATCAATTAACAAAATGAATAATTTTGAAATAAGAAAATTTTAAATTTAAAAAAAAAAAATGAAAAAATAATTTTGTCTGCTACAAATCTTACAATCGATATTCAACACACCTTGAAATTTTGCAGACTTGCGTAAAGTCGGAGACAATGCATTAATTAATTGACAGAATAAATAATTTTTACCAATTATTTTTTTTATATATTAAAAAAATTGAAAAATTTTTAATATTCAATAATAACTTTAGAAATTCATTGCACATGTGTAACATCGGAGACACTGGATTAATTAGAAGTGTTATCTTTAAAAAGTAATTTTTAAACGTATATTATTTACACATAAATATCTCTGCAATTTCACTTTGTGGCGCCAATCGAAGCTTCTGACCAGAGAGACATTAACGATCGTATAATATAACAATATAACTATTCGCTTGTAATCGTTAACGATGCGTAGCTAAACCGTTCGTATCAAGCGCAGGTGAGAGCGAGATGATGAGTTATTACATTAATCGAAGACTAATCTCCATGTAACTCGTGAGAAGGCTAATCCCGAGTTTAAATTCTTCACGCGACGTCACAGAGAGAGCAAGGTTTGATAACTGGCAAAGGACGTTGAAATGATGAACTCGCATTAATTTGTCATTTGTAAAACTACGACGACGATAATGAGTGTGAAATAAACTACCACTCTAAACGTTGTATGAAACATTATTTGGCATCTTTATACATTTTTCGAACGCATAATGATAAATAATAATGAGGTCTTTGACATTCATGAAAGCCCTTAAGATTCGTAGCCCTTACTACCCAACTAAACATCCTTGTACGTGGAATGTCTGCCTAATAAATCTAGTCTTACCATCCTAGTAATTTCTCAATCATAATTTGGCACTCCGTTTTCGTTGGGTCAAACTGTGTCAGGGTGACCCACACAAGTGTAAAAAGTGCCTCACAATATGACAAAGCCTCACTCATTTTTACGAGTGTGTCATTTGTCTTTCAGATCGAAATTTGTTCTTCTCAGCAATTTCGGAGAGGATCTCACGCGTGTTATCAGAACTCCGCTAGGCGCGCATACACTGACCTCGATAGAGGCATACGCTGCGATGTATGACGCTGCGCGTTTTGCTAGCGAGTTTTGCTAGTGTGTTTTGTTAGCGTGTCTTGCTAACGTGTCTTGCTAGTGTGTTTTGCTAGCGTGTTTTGCTAGCGTGTCTTGCTAGCGTGTCTTGCTAGTGTGTTTTGCTAGCGTGTCTTGCTAGCGTGTCTTGCAAGTGTGTTTTGCTAGCGTGTTTTGCTAGCGTGTTTTTCTAGCGTGTTTTNTGCTAGCGTGTTTTGCTAGCGCGTTTTGCTGGCGTGTTTTGCTAGTGTGTTATGCTAGCGTGTTTTGCTAGCGTGTCTTGCTAGCGTGTCTTGCTAGCGCGTTTTGCTAGCGTGTTTTGCTAGTGTGTTTTGCTAGCGTGTCTTGCTGGCGTTTTTTGCTAGCGTGTTTTGCTAGCGTGTTTTTGCTAGCGTGTTTTGCTAGCGTGTCTTGCTAGCGTGTTTTGCTAGCGTATTTTTGCTAGCTTGTTTTGCTAGCGTGTCTACGGTGTCTTGCTAGCGTTTCTTGCTAGCGCGTTTTGCTAGCGTGTTTTGCTAGTGTGTTATGCTAGCGTGCCTTGCTAGCGCGTTTTGCTAGCGTGTTTTGCTAGTGTGTTATGCTAGCGTGTTTTGCTAGGGTATTTTTGCTAGCTTGTTTTGCTAGCGTGTCTACGGTGTCTTGCTAGCGTTTCTTGCTAGCGTGTTTTTGCTAGCGTGTTTTGCTAGCGTGTTTTTCTAGTGTGTTTTGCTAGTGTATTTTGCTAGCGTGTCTTGCTGGCGTTTTTTGCTAGCGTGTTTTGCTAGCGTGTTTTTGCTAGCGTGTTTTGCTAGCGTGTCTTGACAGCGTGTTTTGCCAGGAAGTATGCGAGCATCGCACTTTTGCCATCAAAACATTCGTATTTGCAAAATTAAAAGGCTTTCAATAACACCTGATCAAGACACTTTCCCATATACTCACTCGTACCAAGACACTTTATCATATACCTTACTCAAATACAAAGACATTTTCTCATATACCTAAAATCTTTCGTACACAACTGATTAAACACAATTAAAATGCAGATCAAAAATTAACGATCGTATTAGAATTATGACGCGTTATACCAATAACGCATACTCTCAATTGCGGCTAACGGCCGATCGAGTCGTTGAATAATTAGCTATAAATACAGCTATATGAAATATTCCCAGTAGAGGAGTCTTAGTTCAACAGTTTTTCGCAATCCCTTATTATCAAGACAATTTTAAAAATTTAAGTTTTGGTGGGTAGCGTTCCTGTGGAGTCCAATAGCTGAATGGTGTATTGTAATCAGCTGAATTTTATTGTAATCTTTGTTTGGTCATTTCTTCACGATGTATTACTATCTGTTAACAAGTCCCGCTTTGTAACGATGTTAAAAGATCTCCCTAATTTTATACTTTTTGGCATTTTTTATAGAAAAATTCACTGTTAAAGGAATAAATTGAGGAAGTGGAGGCATTCTTCGAAATACGACAAATTCTTTGTATGATCAATAGATTGGATAAATTATAACTGTATTTTATCCTTGTGACCTGAAAAAGTTGCATTTACATTGTGTTTTGTAGAACTTTCTAACATGAGTATTTATCATATTCAATAAATTTTTCTGAATACTCCATCAGTTTATTAATCCATAAATCTTTTAGAAATTACTCTAATATTTTTTTAATAACTAGTATTGGCACAAAAACTCATTTCTATTTTTAACACATTCCTCTAATCCTCTCTATGAATCACTATGAAACTAACATTCACTTGCTGCCCTAGATTTCCTATATACTACGTATAATCCATCAATATGACGCCCAGAGACAATATATATGACGCCCCAGAGACAGACCTACTTGTAGTAATTACCGTATTTCTCTGTTTCAGATCCCGAGGCTTAGAAACAACAACTCTCACGTGACCAGAGATCCAAGAGCGACAAGATGAATCTCCGTAGAAGATCCTCAAGCCTGTCAGCCGTGACAGCTTTACTGATGCTGACTCTAATGCCAGGAAGCAGTACAGCACAAACTGACATTCCGGTATCTGACGCGGCGACTGTTGCTGACACCGCCAGCGTCGAGGCTGACCTCCAGGCTTGCCCAAAAGATAAAGTGAGTAATAAACTTTCTCGCGTAGGGTAGTTTAATATCAAGATGGAATGAAGGAGGATGTACGTGACCACAAGCATCTTAATTGTTCAATTTTTTTTGCCTCAAAGGAAATCGTTTCTGGCATTTTCAATTACATTTTTATTTAAATGAAAGTGGGAAGGCATCGATGTCGCCTAGAGGAACGAGTATGTGATGTGTTGCTTGCCCGTAAGACAGGAAGGTTCTCGCGCTTTCCCTCACGTCACTTTCGAATTTCCTTTTCTTCACTATTAATTGGTGACGGAAATGCTTGATCAGAAGAAAGGACATGTGCGTTATGATATGACATAAAATGATAGGACTCTTTTAGCACGGATGTAAATATTTGGGTGAACAACTGATTATAAATCAAGAATAAATAACTAAATTTATAAGAATATAAGGACATATTCAGTCACTATGGCTTTAAAACTTTATTCATGGGAGTAAAAAAACCAATAGCAATCAAATTATTTCATTCATTACAATGGAGTAATACTTTGCTTTTTGTTTGAATCATGTTTTTAATTTAGTAAAAATATCGTTACAATAATTGCGAAGTTAATATGGTTCGCCCCTCCAATCAATTCTTGATTGCAGTGATCTCATTTTCCACAGCCGAAAGCACGACGCCAGTCGCTCTTTTGTTTCCTCATGAGAAGTAACTTTTAGAAGCTTCTAAATTCATGGCAACACTTACAGCTTTGCAGTGAAAGTTTTCTCTCATCAAAACGGCATCTTTCTTGATTTTTTTGGCTTAATTTTGCTTGTTTGTTGACCGCGTTCCGTTTTCACACGCTCTATTTATCAAGAACAAATCCAGTTGTTCTTTATATACAGTACGTCGCTGGAAGTTCAGTCCGAAATTTCATAATTCCATGTATCGCTTCACAGATTCATCTGGAGTCCACGATACAAGTAGCCAAATTCGTTTCAAAGAAATCGAGCAGTACCTCCTTGTTTCAGGCTCACTTTAAATATGCGTGACAAGAGTCACTGTCCCTCAGTCAAGCTATGGTTTTCACATTCACCACAAGATATGCAGGCAAGAGTTTGTCAGACTCTCTTATATGGCCTGGATAAACTGCAGCAGATCGACCTTCTTACGAGCTCCGATGTTATTATGAATTAAGGCCTAGATCATGTCTCTGGTGCTACCGTGAGTCTCTAACAATTATTAGACTCGTTAAGCTCTTCAATTCTCAAGCACTAACCACTTAGGCAGCTCTTCTCGCTCCGTTTAACGCCGCAGACTTTCTCCCAGCTATATGAATGATCTGAATAAGATGCGAAAGTTTACAATTCAGACTCTAAACTCGGGGTCTTTTCATGACGGTTCCTATTCTTCATATCGTCTGCGATTTGTTATGGAATGTGTTGGACAAAAATTTGTTTTCAGCCCTAAAAATTCTTAAAGCTTCTCTTCCTTCTTTCATCTTATAACATATTGTATGCATTGCTTATGAAAGTTACTGCATATATTTCGACTCCTTAAAACTATTTTGTGATTTACTTAATTGCTTTTATTGTTTCGGGGTCAATAAAAAGGAAATCAATGTTTGAAATTATTAAAGTTCATCCAGAGCTTTACTTATCAAGGTTAATGAAAGTAACTTGAGGAATTTTAAATTATTTTGTATATTACATGCAGAACTGGGGGACATTCAAAAACTAATTTTAATCAACAGATCTAATTATTTACATTGTTCAATTAAGACTAGTTCATAGATACCTGCAAATATTATTTTATGCCAGCTGAAATCGCTGACTCGTCTTCATTATTTTACTGTTACGTAGCACGCGTTATGTGCTTGGAACTTTCTCCGAACCTCACCTAATAGCAATGTAATTGGCTGTGTGGAGAACTCTATAATAATTATTCGGTTTGTAGTACGGAAGCTGTACTGCGCGACCGATGTAACACTGCAATTAACAAGGGTTTCCTATAAGCCAATAGCTGATGTTTGTGACGCCGGCAATGGCGTTCACTGCTCAACATGTTTGACTGTGCGACTGAAGCAGATGAATGTTGTTTGATTTTTTCCAATCGCCCTATGCCTTCAATCATTATCAGTACAGATGTGATAGTCAGTGAGCAAATTTATCCGGCGTCAAGGAAAATAGACAATGCACTAATTTAATTGATTAACAATCCAATCTTTTGAAATACACAAAGCAGACGCTCAGGCCTACAGCAGCTCATTACGAGGTTCTTCCAACTATTTTTACTTAAGTGACTTGAATGAATTTCATTTGATCCTTTTATTCTTTATTGAAGTGAGTCCAATGGAAGCACCCATGTTAATAACTTTCGTCGTGTAATTCTTTGGTCAGACAAAAATCTTCTTTTTCGACGCCTCCATCCATCAAGGTGGAAAACTGTGACCGGATCCGCAGATTCCGGTAAAAACTTCACTCTAAAGTGCAATTGTCCGGAAATGGGTGGCTAACCTCAAGTCGTTCGCTTGTTTTCTTATTGCCTCAGTGAAGCCAACGAAACTCTGGCGATCTGTACGACTCCTGCCGGAATTCCGAATGTCATTTGTTGCAGTCCACCATTTGCGTGTCTGATTTATTCTATTTATTTTTCATTTTATTTTTACTTTTTTATAACGTACATTCCAGATTAATATTTTTCTGTAAAAATCATTCTGCGCTCTAATTTGTTTGCTCATGACTTTCATATAAATTTACTGGATTGAAAATAAAGTAGAAAATATAAGAAACTACTTGAGTAACAGCATTTCCCGTGCATCATATTTGTGCCACGTAAGTCCCTTGCTCGTTAATACAGAAACAGCGATTGGGGCTCAACTAATGTTATTCGTTCCTGACATTTCCGTTCGAAATCTTCTCGATTCTTTAATACTTTAAGTATTTCCAATCCATAGCCATGCAATATTTTTTAATGCTGTTGCCCTTCCATCAGCCTACTTCCGGTGTTATCTCGGCATGATTAGTTATCTATTTTTTCATCTATAACGTAGATCTCTGAAACAATTGATCTTTACATTAGGTCTTGGCAAATTATATCTACCATATTAATATTTCTACAGCTGTTCTGATCCATTGATCTTAGCTGTTCTCAATCATATATGTAGATCATTTCAAGCAGTCTCAACCATAGATTTTTCCAACTGATCTTAACCATTGATCTCATCATGCAACCTCAACCATAAAGCTATTCAAGCGATCTCGACCATAAACCTATTCAAGCGATCTCAACCATAAACCTATTCAAGCGATCTCAACCATAAACCTCTTCAAGTGATCTCATTTAACTTGAACCGAGTGACTCAGAGCGCTCTCTCTAATGGCACGACTCGTGCTTGCGAGGACAGCCATATCCTGCACTCGATCTTTGGTCAGTTTTTAGCATTCGTCTTTGCATTCAAACGACTCGACGACGAAGTTTTATGCCGTGACGAGCCTCTCATTGGACAACTCAGTGACTTCTTGTCACTGAGTTGTCCATGTTTCCATGTTTGTTGTCCGGGAGACTAAGTGAGCTCCGGTTTTCTGCTTGAATGTTAAATGACTTTGCGGTGACATTGCCTATTCTTAATTTCGGCCCATTACCGCTCGATATTTTGTGTATCCGTTCAACTGAATAGTCGTGTATTTCTTTAAATTGAAGAACACCGAGCATAAATTTCAAGGACACCTTTACAAAAGCCTGAACTTGAGTTAAGACAACATGAAATAAATCAATAAATATTTTTAAATCGTATAGTCGTCTCCAATGTAAGACACTACAAGTCGAGACTTTTTAATTCATGAAGTTATCAATGACCACATCATGTAAAAACATTAAGTACCTTTGTAATGTAACATGCTTTATTTATGTGTATTTGACAGGTATCATTGTTTTTTCACTAAAAACAAATTAATTAACAAGACGACTAAAAAAAAATTAGTTTTTCGTCGTGGTTTTCAACTGGATCATTTATCTTCACCGCTTATCGATTATTGCTCGAATACTAATGAATTTCGCGACTGTGTTCTTCAATGTGAACGTTAAAGATTAAAAAAATATTGTCCCATACCTTCATTAAAGAATCTTCCGAGATCGTGTAGCGACGTACCTCGCCTGTCATTTTTTTTTTCAAGGCTGCAGTAGGAGATTTATACAAATCTTCGCCGTTGTCCTTTTCTGGTGCAATAATAGTCAGCGGAATGCCCCACCGGTTTCCTCATTATTAATTTTTTTTTATTCAAGAAATAATTCAAATTTTTGTATAATACGTAATTCTATTGTCGTGGCTGATAAGCTTTAGAAATATTTATTATTGGAATTACCTTGGCCATATCCGCGAATGACGAATCAAAATTTTTCGCGTAAGAGCTTTGTACTTTCCCCAACACAATATGATAGTTCTAAAATCTGCCTCTTATTCATATAACTTCCATGTTGACCTATTTGTTCCGGATTTGTCGAAATTCCATTATGACGTGAAGTTATTCAGGGCTTGTTTATTCTGCATGGGCATGGAAGTTAACGTTTATTGAAATTTCTGGAGTTCGTTGTCTCTGAAATTCCACCCTGGACTCAACTGACGTCAATAAAATTTCGGATACGCTATTCATTCATCTCTCTGCTATTCTATGACTTTTGTAGCTGCACGTTTAAAGCTACTTCTCCGCTATCATTCAGCATATGTTTAGCAATGACATATGCTTCAAGCTCCCAAACAAATGGTGACAGACTTCGTCTACTCCTCACCATCAATCATGCCCGACTCGCTGCCCAGCACTAACCCACATCCTCTTCCTGGCAGATCTCCTTCGAGATGGTGACGGGGTTCGTCTACTCCTCACCATCTGACGTGTCTGACTCACTGTCCAACACTAACCTACTTCCTCTTCCTGGCAGATATCCTCCGAGATAGTGACGGGCTTCGTGTACTCTTCACCATCAGACATGCCTGACTGGCTGCCTATCACTAACCCATTTCCTCTTCCTGGCAGATCTCCTTCGAGATGGTGACGGGCTTCGTGTACTCCTCACCATCGGACATGCTCGACTCGCTGCCAGGGACCCTGAAGATCACTGACTGTCTTGAGATGTGCCGTAACAACGCCTCCTGCATGGCCGTCAACTACGAGACCGGCCTTTGTGTGCTTTTCGCATCCAGCGCCGACGTCTACCCAGGTAAAATATTACGAGATTGCTGCAATTATTCTCTCTAGGAAAATGATGTTGACGAAGCTTTGACTGCTAAATTTTGCTGAAATAACGTTCAACGTCAATTGCCACTAAAAGTAACAACCTCAATCAGTATAACTAACGCAAAGCAATCTTTAAAAGTAGTAATTGTTGAGTAAGTGTTGATGGCGTGCGAATTTATTTTAATTTTTCAAACTACGTCGGTTTTGCTCTGATCCGCGTACGCACCAAATTCAACATGCGCCATTAAATATTGTAGCTCATTGCGGTTTTCTCCGCTCAGTATCTGAATGCTTGACTCTGCGAGTTCATAACGTTTCAATGTTGTGGAATAAGTGGCAAGTTGTAAACGAACACAATTAACAGAAAATGCATGAAACCGTCAACCTAAACCAAAGTCAACCGAACAGAAAACCCAGAACCAAAAATTATGATCTCTCGAATACATTGCTAGGGACGCATTCCAACAAAAATAAAACAAACCAATCTTCATCCCTGCATTGTTCAGCCAGGTGATCGTATAGGTCCTTCCCATTGGCCAAAGTGATAAAAGAGTTCTGATTTATCTTTATTACAGATTAAAACCAAGCCTTGGTAAACACGTAAACACCGAAACCGGAGCGAGACACTTTCGAGACTATTGCTGAATTCTTGAGCTATTCTTGAGGTTCCGAGATTTTGAGCTATTTCTAAGACTATTGCTGAGACTCCTGAAACGCACAAATGGAACAAATAAATATCTAACAATGTATTAATCTAAACATGAATATCCGATTAATAATCAGCACGAATAAAATCATTAATAAATGCTACTGAAATATTTACAAAAAGTATACACAGATGGAAACCACAACTAACTCTATACCTAACATTCACTTTATTCATCAAATCCTATCAACACAAGACGTACCTTACACATCCACGGCACACACGATACTGAATCCGCTTTCTTAGTTTGGACAAGGTCACGTCTAACTCTTTCTAACGCAAAATCACAAATTCGTTATCAATTCAATCCCCAACAACATTTTCATATGTTCCTATATTCTTATATTCTTCTCTTATATCCTATATTCCTATATTCTCATGTTCGTATATCTTATATTCTTATATTCTGAAATTCTGTCGCCCGGCGATGCGGAGCACATATTTTTACCCTGAAAGCGGCGCCTTGCCTAATTTACGCATTAAATTGTCCTGAATTTCGAGGTCATTATATCAACTCTACGCCCTCATTATAGCGTAGAGTTTTTATTTGGTTTCAATGCAGTAATTACCAGCAGCTGGCGCGTGGCGGAGCCACGTTATAGTGCCAGCACTTGAAACGAGTGGCTATGAAGCTTGTTTCTATTGCATTTGAACGTTTGACTAAACATTGATTAAATCATGACAGATGAAAAATGTCGATGTGAAAAAGAGTAATCACATTTTAACTCGTAATTAAACCGTGACTAAATAATAACAGAGGAAAGCGGTCAATGTGAACAAATATTCGTGAGTAAATCATTAATTAAATAAATTTAATTTCAGTGATTAAAATTTTAAATTAAACTACGCACTTTTTCAACAATCTTGACATAAAGCATAGAATTGGCATAAAGCAATCGAAGATATTCGACAGCATACAGTATCTTCCAGATAATTCTGAGAATCCAAGTCTTGTGCAAAAATTTACGATCATAAGCAAGCTCCGCAAGACAAATTCATATACTGTGTCGACGAGATCGATACTTATGGACCTATTGCTGCAGTGTTTAGGCTAGTACGTGATAGAGACTTGCAGCGCCTATTGCTGCAGTATCTAGGCTAGGACGAGATCGAGACTTGCTGGACCTATTGCTGCAGTGTCTAGGGTAGGACAAGATTGAGACCTGCAGTGCCTATTACTTCAGTGTCGTGGTTAGAACAAAATGAAGACGTTCTCGCTCTCCCGGGAATGATAACAATTAATTATCTATCATTACAGCACTCTCGACTATCAATGCAACTCTTCCGTTCTAACGTGGCTCGTCAATGGCCATTTGCGCTCCCTTTCACGGAAAAATTTTCCTCATCAAATGTAGAATGTCGTGTATTCATTTTAATAAAATAAATTGTAACATAAATGTTGAATTAATGTAATGATCTATGAGTGCAATATTATTTCATTCCTTTCACCTAACCTATTAGCTGATCAGCACTATAGTAAAGCAAAGAATCACGTAATCGATGCAGATATTATTAACGAGTTAACTGCAAATATTGCATCATGAAGATATTTTAACCCAAATTAATCTGTTCGTGCACTTCACCCTCTGACCGACTTGCGTAGAGGCCGGCGTACGTCAGGCCGCCGCTGTTCGTGATTTCATGAACTCGGCGGCACACTCGGGGCCGGAAGCCGCTTCTTCTGTTGCTCTTTCCTAGCCGACGTCCGTTATATTCATGATACTTGACCGCTGCCTCTGCCTTATCATTAAACGCAAATTCCTATCGCATCAACTGAGCAAGTTGACGAATGCTGACAGTGATGATAGGGTGACTCAATGGCTGTTGTGTTTACATGAACCTTGCCTACACTTCCAGCAGGATTTGTGTGAGGTGTTCCTAAATTAATGGGCTGGTCCTGGAACAGTATTGTGTATAGACGCTATCATGCGACGCGTGATCTTCCGGTACTATTTTCAGTAATTTACTCGAGTATATGGATGAATATATTGATTTTCGGGGAGACTGAAATAATGTTTTTCATTAAAATATGAAACGGTGTGAGCCCATCGATTCGTTTTTACACTTTTCTCGCGTGATAGTTTTCGAGCCGTTCAATTATAGCTTCGTTGCCCGCATAATTCTTATGTCAAGATAGCGGCAATGTTCGGCAAGTTTAGCCGCGTCGTAAATTCGGTGGTGCGGCGTGCTCCCGTTAGAATTAGTTACGATGTATGCGGTTGGCGATACGATTATTATTGATGAAGGTGTTGGTCTGTGGTGCAAATAATACGTGACTTACAAGCGACACCTCGCCGGTTATTGGGTTAACGACTTACTCGCTGGTTGTGTCTTCGTGGTTCTTAACGACTTTTTTAACGCTTAATAATCACGTACGTGTTACTTGGGGTCCGATGCTCGCAGATTTTTATTTAATTTGATAGACAAACACCTGATAAAAATTCAATCAATGCTTGTCCAGCTTATATAATCTTCCAAATTTGTACTCATTATGAAACGCTGATCAAATAACAAGGGACTACATTATTTCATTGGGCAGTTCGATTGTGCTCGAGTTGACGCACTTTTTCTCCATTCACAGATCGTTGATACCTAGTGATAAAAAACGAACTTCCAATAGTATTTACCCAGATTGTTTTCAAACTAGAAAAATCTACTGCATTGCAATTGGAAGGTCACTTCACCGTTAGTCTCGTAGAAATCATTTTGTATTTTCACTGAAATTAAAGTCATAGCGGGTCATGGAACTACCTGCAGCTTCCTATGTTTTTATTCGCATCTTGAAGCTGCCAGCTGGTTAATTAGGTTCGTGAATGCCGTGTATTCCGAAGCTCGTTAAAAATGAAGCGAATTTGCAGTCTTTTCAAAGCAACAGAGAACGATACCGTTGGCAATCTTTGAGGTGTCAAAGATTTTTCTCTAACTTGAGATCGTTGGAAATTAACTGTTTTAAGGGTGAGTGAGACCCATCTAGGTTCTTGATTAAATAATTCTGAGACTAATTTTTTCGTCGTGTTAGTTAATGGTGTAAAATGGCAAAAGTGTGAAATTGAGAAATGAATTCGCACCACGCATGAAGTTTTCATAAAACATTCAGAAATGTGAGGAAAGAGAAAAGTTATATTTTTTGTACGCGGTTTTATTTCGTGCCAGGATGTTTTCTTCAATTTATAATAATACTTATTGAAGATTTTAATGATGATAAAATCATAGACAATGCATCATAAAAAATTTTGTATGTTTTATTATAGGATATAGACGCCACCAACTGTTGTGCAAATGATCTGCATGTTCACTGCATTTGTTACAAAATATCTCCAAGCTAAAAAGTTGTCAATAAAATAATATCCATAGAGGAAGCTCACGCTGAGACACGAACACGGTGACCCTATAATATTATAGAGTCACCATTGAACATTATCAGTCCCAGCGCAGCTCGTGTGTCATTGCAAGACCCAAATGAAAACTCAAATTTTTTAGTAACAAGTCAGCACAGATTGCGGCTGCAAGACGTTATCGCTTTTATAACATCACAGTGTATGAGGACATCGTTAAATTATCACCCATTTGACTTCAGCAAACGTGACAAATTATACAATGAGACCATTTAAAACGTAATAGCTGCTTATCAGAGTGTTACGTCGCCTAGTTACAGTACGGAAACGTAGACAGGAACGATCTCTCTACGGCCTAGTGTAGGTCGCTCTCAGTGCTAATTCCTAATTGAGCTCTAGTGACAGGATATCATATTTGCTGAGTCATTGAAGAACTCTCTCTGTGATATGACACCGAACTGTCCTGTTTCTGTATTCGGTAAATCAAATTGGACATCTGATGGTTAGGACCACAATTCAGTGTTAGTATTCGCGATTCTGATTTTCTAGTTGAATTAAAGGATGAATTGTAGAAGTCATTTCACGCATGCACCAAAATTACTCGTATTACGGAGCGAGATGACAGGCAAAATATTCCTGCGACTCATCATCATTTGGAGTTTGGAGCATTAAACCCGTCTGTAAAAACTCGATCTTATTGCTCCCAAATATGGGCCTGTTGTCTTTTATAAATGGCATGTGAATTTATGCGATTATAGTATTGACCTTCATGTCGCTTTAATCACGATTTTGAACTTGAAATATTTAATAGCAAGATAATATAAAAATTAGTGCTCTAGGTTTATTCTAAAATTATTGATACAACTTAATGAAACTGACTAAAATATTAATTGATCGGTTGCCAAATTTATCCTGTATCATCTCATGTACCATCCCATGTAC